TTATTTGAGCAGCTTTATGTATCTCCACTATTTGATCAGGTTAATTACTTAATTTAATTATTTTGTGAAATCTCTTTAAATTATTAACAATGTAAAAACCCTCAAGTACAAAATGATGAAAGTGTAATTTGATAATCCTGTAAAATGGGTAGACAATTGTTTTAACAAATGTTCAGCTGATTTTCAGGCCTGAAGCTAAGAATTAAAAGATAGCAATTTGCACATCAGAGAATTACAGAGGATATTTTTGAAAATGTAGCTGCTAAGTCTTTATTTGAGAAAACAATCTGCTTGTGTGTCATTCTGCACAGTTAATTAAAACAATAAAAGCTATACAATGTATTTGCCTTTCAGCACAATTAACTTTTACTGTGCTGTTGTCTGGCAATTGTGTGGCGAGTTGACACATTAAAGTAAGCTTCAAAGGCATATTAATAAAAATAATGTGATAATGAAAGTTTCTCTATTTCAAAGAATCAAAAAACGCTGAAGCAATTTGGAATGCTTTCATGTCTTCGTGGCTGTCAGGAGTGCAGAATGACTTCAGATTCCCAAAGGAGACCATATCGAATCCAAGCTATGGATACCAGCATTTCATCCAGGTTAATATTGATAAATGATACATGAATARTCTTCCATTTCAGTTGTAAAGAAGAAAAATAGCAGGTGGTGGTACTTGGAACATATAGCTCGATTTAGATGTGGTCCTACAACATCCAGCAAAGATTCCTAGTTCATTCTCTCTGTTTAAACTTCAAGATGTTAAAAATATGAGGATGAAATGATACCTCGCTTCACTCAAATGCTTCTTTGCATGTGGGAAGGATAAAAGTGGTTCCAAAGTTTTAAGCCTGGATGACACCTTCGATAATAATATAGTAAGAAAGAATAGGAAAAATGAAGAGAATGGGTGAGAAGGAGAAGACTTTCATARGCCTAAGCAGCTGATGCTTCTAGCCATCAATATAAAATCGGATTCAGCAAGATCAGGAACAGATTGTCATGAATCTCTCTACAGAGCTTTAGGCTAAACACAGAGCTTTGTGGTATTTTTATAAAAATAAAGACTTGATAAAAGATAGCAAAAATTAGTAAGGCAGGCAGGTAACTAGGAAAAATTATGTCAGATTAAAAAGAGGACTTTTGAGAAGGGAGTAAGATGTCTCAAAACAATAAAATAGAGGTTGCAGACTTTTATATGACAGACTGTCACATAAAAGCTGTCTTGAGACCTTCATAAGATCCATTTGAAAAGAACCACAATTTGCAGAAGGCCATTTTATCTCCCCAGCATATGAGTACCGAGCAGATATGAAGTCCAAAAGCTGTGATTTGTTTAAGTAGAGCTTTCTCTGCTTGAAGATACTTCAGTATATCAGTATATTTCTCTTACAATTTGAGGTGTGTGCCAATGACTATGTTCTCCTACAAGTGTCTAACTAAATTACTTGCAAAAGGTATTTGTTAGAATTTCTGCAACTACTTTCAAGAAACAAATCAGTATGTTTTATTTTTAAGATTGTTTCCACTGTATAAAATATTAGTATAGACTGTTTTCATAAACTAGGCACATGGGAATCCTTCCTGATTTAATTAAAAGATGCTTATAATAAAATATTATACTGTATACTATATTTTAACCTGTATCTTCTGTAAAAATGTCAAATTTTCACTGACATCACAAGATGACTAGAAGTCAAAGAGTTAATTCTGTTTTACTTCCAGCTGCAGAAATATATTGTGTAACTACTAAACCCAAGTGCTGTCAAGGATGCTTTCTTTYATATACTACATGATTCAGATGCTAGAAGGATTTTTCTAGGTGGGTTATAAAAGTATGACAATATCTTCTTTATTGTCAAGTAAATTGTGTCTGTGTAACCCATCTAAATTCAGAAAAGAAAATGAAAGAGAATCTTTAAGCGTTCGGCTTGCCTCGGATGGTCCCAGAAAWTTTTTGTCATTAATGACATGTTATTGCCATGAGCTTTTGTCAGAGAAGATTATAGGTACTATTTTGGTGAAAATTGACAAGCCAGCATAGCCAGTTTCATGCCTTTTGAAAAACAGAACTTTGTCTAGAGCGGTATTTATTGAATGTATGCTGGAGAATGTAAGAAAATGGATTGTAGGTGGCCTATTCTGGCAGAGATTCATAAGAACCAAAAGCGCTGAGGGGCAGATAAGAATCAGGATGCATGGAGTGCACACAGACTCTTGTGTTACAGCTGTCCATGAAGTCACATGGAGCAAATGCTCATCCTAGAGCAAATGAGAACCTGAATTCTCATTTGCTTTTCAAGATAAATGTAAGCATTTGGTTAAGGATATTTCACAAAATACTCAGAACACATTTGTAATGGTAGGCACAACCGTAAGCTAAAATACTAAATCCTTCTGAAAAATAATAGCAAAATTAAAAAATTGGAAAATAGACTCTCAGAAAAAGTCAGTTCTGCATCCAGCAGTCTAGTATCCCCTGCCAGTTACTTACTGCTGCACATGGAAAAATAATTCTTCAGATTTCCTCAGAGGCCATCAGCATTAGCCCAGGAAAAAAAAAAAAAAAAAGTTAATTAATCATCCTGCAGATTTTAATTATTTTCAGCAAAACTAATTTTCACAAGGACTTGTGAACTACAGCCCTGGAAAAGCTCTTTCCTCCTCCTTTTTCCTATATATATGTACATCCTTTGACGCATACAGGCACACACATACATAGGTAGAGCTGATACAGACACACAGCCTACCTTAGCTCAGTATGGCTAGAAGTAACGAGGTTGTAAAATCAGCCATGGATCTTTTTGGTTATTGAGGGAAGCACTGAGGAGTGAAAGTAAGGAAAAATCCTCCTGGGCAAGCTCCAGAAGTGTGGGATAGATGAGTGGATGGGGAGGTGGATTGAGAACTGACTGCATGGCAGAGCTCAGAGGGTGGTGATCAGTGGCGCCGAGTCCAGCTGGAGACCTGTGGTTGGCGGTGTCCCCCAGGGGTCGGCCCTTGGTCCGGTCCTGTTCAACTTATTCATCAATGATCTGGATGAAGGGCTGGAGTGCTCCCTCAGCAAGTTTGCTGATGATACCAAACTGGGAGGAGTAGCTGATAGCCCTGAGGGCTCTGCTGCCATCCAGAGGGACCTGGACAGACTGGACAACTGGGTGGTGAGAAACTTCATGAAGTTCAGCAAGGGCAAGTGCAGGGTCCTGCACTTGGGGAGGAATAACCCCGGACACCAGCACAGGCTGGGGACTGACCTGCTAGAGAGCAGCTCTGCAGAGAGGAACCTGGGCATCAAGGTGGACGACAAGTTGACCATGAGGCAGCAGTGTGCCCTGGTGGCCAAGAAGGCCAACGGGATCCTGGGGTGCATTAAGAAGAGCGTCTCCAGCAGGTCAAGAGAGGTGATTGTCCCCCTCTACACAGCCCTGGTAAGGCCACATCTGGAGACTGTGTCCAGTTTTGGGCTCCCCAGTACAAGAGGGATGTGGAGCTGCTGGAGAGAGTCCAGCGCAGGGCTACSAGGATGATCAGGGGCCTGGAACATCTGCCATATGAGCAAAGGCTGAGAGAGCTGGGCCTGTTCAGCCTGGAGAAGAGGAGGCTGAGGGGGGACCTGATCAGTGTGTATAAATACCTCAAGGGAGGCAGTGAGGAGGAGGGGGCGGCCTCTTTACAGTGGTGGCCAGTGATAGGACTAGAGGAAATGGCCACAAAAAATGGCCACCAAAAGTTCCATGGGAATCTGGAGAAAACAAATCTTGACAGTGAGGGTCAAGTCACTCTTGAGTGAGTGACAGAGCACTGGACCAGGCTGCCCAGAGAGGTTGTGGCGTCTCCTTCTCTGGAGATCTTCAAAACTTGCTTGGACACAATCCTGTGCCACATGCTGTAGGTGACCCTGCATGTGCAGAGGGGTTGGACTAGATGATCTCTAAAAGTCCTTTCCATCCTTAAAGATTCTATGATTCTATGAAAGAAATTCTCATGGTGACACTTTGTAAAATTTCACAAGTTGGGAAGAGCTGGATTTGTTGATGTAGCAGCAACTGACACTACATTGATATAAAAGCAGTTTCTTTGTTCAGTGTGAATACAAGGAAATATATAAATAAATAAATAAATAATCCTGACTAGTCAATTACATTTAGTATTTGCACATATGACTGCAGAATATGACCCATATAACCCAGACTCAACTGCAGAATTTAAAAAGGCATGAGTAAAAGACCTGCCCTCTTCAAACCGAATCCTCCACTACTCATAACAAAGAAATTAAAAAATAATGGACTTTGCTGTGTTCATAGAGGCCAGCAAATCCAGGCTCTGGTTTATGCTGATGGAGAAAGCTTCCCAAAATGCGGAATTCTCCAGACAGAGGATGAGCTGCAGTTGCCTCTTCACACCTCATTTGCAGAGCTCAAATGTGTGACTTTCTGCTGAGCTCCCCTTAGGCACCACGGAGAGAAAAGCAGTCTTTCCAGTAACTAGACTCAGTTCCACATAGCTGTGTTTAAAGACGATAAAGTTCTCCTAAAGCAAACAGTTTGGTTAGGGAAGAAAAATAATCTTTGTAGGTTAATTAATTTGAATGCTATCTTATGCAAATCTCATAGTATTGTTATTTTTAAAATATCTTTTATAAGGTTTTGCTTAAAGTCTAGACATGATCTAAGAGAAGTGTAAAATGTGGAATCGGAAGTCATGTTTTAAAAYAAGGAGAACAACAAAGCTGTACCAACAGTGTCATTCTGGGTGCAAATCCTGGGTGCCTCGTGGTGTCTCACAGCACCCCGGCCCCCACCAGCAGCATGGTCAGCTATGGGGCTGCCACCCTCTCGTGCTGCCTGCTCCTCCAGCGGCTCTGCTGGGGACAAGTCTGTGCCCTGCTGTAGCAGATTGTTGGAGGCTCATAGGGTTTTGTTGTTTGATTGTTTGTGGTTTTCTTTTACTCTGAAAACTGCTCTTTGAAGTGGTTCTAATATGAATCTGTGCAACTCATGATGGAAGAGGCCATCGGATGGTACATGATTGACTCGGAGGTCAGATCACGATTAGCCGATGCCAATATTTCTTTCTGTCCATTATTATATAATTTCATATTCCTACATGCTTAATGTAGACATACATTTAAGGAGACAACATACACAGATGGTGGCAAAGGCCTTGTCGCAAAGCACACAAGTGTCAGGGGACATCACAGGGGAGACACCATAGCTATACTGAAATGATCTCCATTTACAAGGCCATCACTACAAAATGTTACCTGTCCCTAGCCCACAGTTTGTATCCTTGCAAACTCTGAGCCATCTGTAGTTCAGATTTGCCTCATAGTTCCCCTCAAGTTTATTAGCACAGGTAGCGTTGCCATTTTGAAGTCTCCAGGCCCATTTGTTCCTGTCTGTATTACAGCACACGTTTTTCGTAGAATCATAGAATGCCGAAGGTTGGAAGGGACCTCAGAGGTCATCTAGTCCAACCCCCCTGCTCACGCAGGGTCACCTAGAGCACATAGCACAGGGCTGTGTCCAAGTGGGTTTTAAAGATCTCCAAAGAAAGAGATCTTTTTCTGGATTAACTGAACAGTTGGGCAACGCTGCTTGTTCTCGCAATTAAGCAGTCATTCTAGATTTTTCTGTAAGCTCCAGCTTTGCCAGGGGTAGGGTTGTATGGACATCTAATGTTTGTCCATTGAGTTGTATATTTTGCATGTTCAGAGGAAGCACGGGGGTATAAACTTGAGATGCTTGAGTAAGAAAAGGTAAATAAAAATAACACAAATGCGTATTATTTGAAAGGAGAAATTCTCCCATGTGAGGGTCCTGTAGGTTAGCTAGCATTTGATACTGCCTAAATTCCTCCATGCTGACTTCCAGGGCCACTGGGGCCTGATGAAATAGAACACGTCCCACAGGGAGAGCCCAGCCTGGCGGAGCTGTCAGCAGCCGCGGGCGATGATGGCACCTCTGGGATCCCCTCAGGCAGCGCAGACCTCCAGGGCGGCTCCTCCGCCATCCAGGCCTCCTCCTGCTCTCCTTACCCACAGTCCAGACCCACATCCCCATGTTCACAGAGAGGCTCTCCGGGTGCATGTATTGAAAAAACCACTCATCCCTTAGAAAATATTTTAGTCTTTTTTTTTTTTTATTATTATTATTTGGAATTTTTAAAATTACATTTTCTAAACAAAACATATGATATGTAAGGCAGAGGTGACATGGCTCTAGCTATGAATAACTGACTGACCTCTGGGTAGGGCCCCAGGCAGAGCTCCAGATGGAAACCCCTTCTGAATTGCCCCATTCCCGGCACCAGCTCCACGACAGCCACTGCATCGGACCCCGTATCTGGCAGCATCGGCTTCTGGAGGCGCTTTCCCAAGGATGCAGCTCGCTGGCACACTTGCTGCGCCCAAGGTGCAGACGCTCCCCCAATCCTCTCAATTCCAAGTACCCATATTCCTATATGGATCAGCCTGTCGGATTTTGATGGAGTAAATTATCCTTGCCARTGCTGCTGTACTGTATGTGCAGGTGGGTCTCCTCTCGGCGCTGCACTTGGGGTACACGGCGGTGCGGATGCTGCTCCTGCTTGCCGCGATTTGTCCCTTTGGAGGGAGTGTTTTAAGAGAGATGATAATTTTACTCAGAATGTTCCTGTGGGGTGTGTTAACAAACTTCCAAACTTAAGGCATTTTGAAATTTAGAATGGTGTTTGCTTCCTAGTGAGATATTTTATTTTATTTTATTTTATTTTATTTTATTTTATTTTATTTTATTTTATTTTATTTTATTTTATTTTATTTTATTTTCCCTTTTCTCCATGTGCCTTAGAAAAGCAAGGTTGCTTCCAGACGGCAGTGAAAACGCTCCTTTAAGGTGACAGGCACTGCCGTCCCMMMMAAAAWAAAAWAAAATAAAATAAAATAAAAAGCAAGGAAAAGAAAAGAAAGAAATGGGAGGAAGATAAAGAGAGGAGGGGGGAAAAGGAAAACAAAAAAATAAA